TCTGCTTTGTCAGACTTTGTTTTAATCTATTTCCTCCCTTTGGCTGTGGTCGCTACCCTGCCCTCTGTTCACTGGTGTGAGAAAGAACACGTTGTGCTTTCCTTGCCAGATGTGCAAGAGCAGGAAGAGGATGGGAGAAGATCAAGGGAAATCTTTACTGTTTTTATATTGTGTGGTGTGTGTTGGACCTCAGAATGTAGAAAAATCATCAATAAACAGATATGAGAAGAAATTACTTATTTCATCATTCTGGTAGGTGATAAGCCTGTAGCCATTTATCAAGTGTCCACTAGAAATAAATGTCTGTTGTCATTTTCTCACTTTTAATAACATTATACCTCTCTGTAATTTTAGCTCTTCATCTCAACTGCTACTTTTTTTTTTCTTTTTGAAAGAGTGAGCTTAGAAGAAAAAGAATAATTTAGCGACGCTTCCCCCTTTCTTTGGCAAGCCAGCAAAATGATTGTGAATAACACCAAATTAATTATTTGGATTCATAAAAACAGAAGCAGCCCACTTGCTTAAAGTAGAATAAACACCAAGCAGTCTCACTTGGATTTTCAGTGGCTTTGAATTTGAGTTTGCTTTTACAGCAACACCAGCAGCATTCTCCCAGCTTACTAACCCAAGCCTCTACTACATTTTTCTGTCACCCTTTGGGAGACTCCTTGTCCCTCCTGTGTGTACCAGGTAGAGGAGGGGAGGGCCTTACTCCCTTTTCAGCAGTAAACCTTTCTTATAACTCTAGAAAGGATGAGCTTGAAGTTCTTCAGTCCTTCAGCAAGCATAGCTGGTAGGAAACATACTGCAAACTTTACTTAAGTGGAGGAAGGTTTTTACACGGTTTGGTGTGACAGTGAATAATACCATCTCTCCATTAGCACCTGCTCTGTCCCAATAGCAAAATAACATTCTAGACTACTCCCACACTTTCAGCTTTCAGTATGACTGTGCCTAATTATACTGCATGGGTTAGCAGCAGCAGAGCTGGAGCTTTTGGTAGTCAAGTATGGGATAATTGGAGTTTGAGGTTTCTGGAAAGACATGGCAGAAGGTTTGAGGTAGGAAGACCACTATCTCCTACAAGCACACTAGTTTTATCTGCCTGGAGGATTATCAGATGACCAGAAAAGAGATGGTTAGTGGTTCAGCTGCCACACCAAAGTGCATGGGGTGGCCTTTTCCTGTCAAAGCTGTAAGTTTCTCTCAAGAATGCGTATGGAATGAGGGGGTGGCTATATCTTTTTGCATTCACATTCATGTTTTGACATTTTCTCAGTTCTTCTCTTTCTCTCAAGAAGGCTTAGACACTCAGAGCCTGGCCCATAGAGAGGAAAGGAGGCACTAAGCCAAAAATCTTATATTACAGCTTTTTAAAATACAGACGATGCTTTCTTATGCTTGCATGGAAGATAGACGAGAATCATATCATATATGTGATCCTGCACAATAGATTATCTCTAGACTGAGGTAAATTCCTATATTCCTAATGTCACAGACTTCTTTGGAGGAGAGGAAATCACTGCAGGCTGTTTGGGGTGGGCTCCGCAGGGACACATCTGTCACCCTACTGTGTCTTAAAGCCCTGGCTATAACCATCCTGCTCCTACACAAGAACCTCTTCTAGCTGGGCTATTCTCCCTTCTCCCGTAGACACACTGCTCCTGGCCAAGCAATGGCACAGCGCTCTGTCTTGTAGCCTCGCAATAGATATTTTCCTGTGAGAGAGGACCTGCAGGCTGGAGTCCTCCTCCCAGGCAAGGACTGGCTGCAAGCTCTGCTCTTGCCTGCCTGAGTGCTCTCTCTTCTCACCAGCTGGCCCAGGATGGGCAGCCTCCCTTCCCTGCCATGGTTTTGAAAGAAAGCAGCCCCACGAAGTATTGCTTGGGCATACCTGCAAGATCTGGGTGGAGTTTTGGCACCTTCTGGCTTCTGTCTGAATGACAGATTATTTTTTTTACAGGAGGAGGTGCTGGGCTTCTCCAGAGTAGGAGCCTCTAACCCCGTACTGGTGCATGCATTTATGTACCCCGTAATGGCTGCAATTCAAAGCAGAGGCACTGATTTATTTTAGGACCCTTAAGGCTAGGCAGAACAGAGAACTAAAGCATCTGAATACTTGTTAAGCCTTACAGGTCTGTGTTCCCGTGTGGTCGTAATTTCAGTGGAATTTGGTTACAGTGCTCTCACCAGGAAGCGTCTAGTCAGGCTGAATTATTGTGTGTCGTTGGCAGAAAACAGGACAAACCCAATTACCCTGTTGCCTGGGATCCTTGCAGTAATAGGGAACTGCTGGGGTGGGATGCATCTGGATCATCCCAGCAAGAAGTCCAATGCTTTTTTTTTCTTTTTTTGCATAGGAAGTAACATAGGTAAAAAACAAATTCTCTGACAATCCCAAATCTGCCTATGCAAATCCAACATTCACTGAGGATATCAGCACATGAACAACATATACCAGATAAACATTTAAAAAGGAGGGCTTTCTGCAGTACTTTTTTAAATGGACCCATCTCCTCCTACTTGACTTCTCCAGATCTGGCTTTGGAATTATTTACAATGTGTTGTGAACTTGTAGTCATCTCTGAGATGAGAAAGTATCTCAGCTCTAAAGGGAAGGTGAAATTCCATCGCTTTTTGTGATGCAAATATTTTGAAATAGGGAAGACATTCCTCCTTAGCCTTTCAAAGTGAGATGTAATTACAGTAATTTTACTGCACAGCTACAAATACAAGCACAGGGAAGGCATGTGGGCAGTTCTGCATGGCTGCATGGGTAATAAGGGATGGAGGATTTGTAGATCCTCGACTTCCAAACCCTGGATCAGCTCCAGCCCTGAATACAGCAGCAACGGTCAGATATGTGACAAAAAAGATCTCATGCCATTATTATTTTTCTAGTGACAGTAGCCCATAATTTTTTTCTCAGAAGGTTATCCACTGTTTAATTCCTCTCCCCCCACTCAGTTAGGAAATGGTGTCCTGTTGTTCATCTGAATCTGCCTGAAACCATCTTTTAGGCCCTGAATTTTTATTTTTCTCTTGTCAGTAGTACAAGAAATTCCCCCTGGTTTTAGATTTCTGTATGCAAGTATCTATACTCAGTGCTTGAGTCATGTCTCAGCTTCTTGTCAATGAGCTAACTAAATTGAGCTCCTTAAGCTTCAAATCATGACTTGTTTTCCAGTCCCTGGAGATACTTGTGACCCTCTTTTGAACTCCCTCCAGTCCCCGTCCTCATTATTTCCATATATTTTCTGAGGTGTAAACAACAATGTATAAATAGCCATAAACAGTCAGACCAAAGGTGTATCTAGCCTAGTGTCCTCCCTCTGCCAGCACTTCCCACAGATGCCACGGGAAAATGAGCAACAGTGAAAACAAGGTGCTGCTTTCCTCCCTGCTTCCTGCTCCAGCATCCGAGTGATCTGCTGCTCATTGTGCTACAACACACGATGCTCTTAACCTGAACTGGGATCACTTCCCATTTTCTGCTTGATGTTCCTGGTTGTATGACTCCAGGGACCGCCTTAGCATATTTCTTGCTACTGCAGTGCCTCAGAAGCTCACGTTGACCCCGCTGTCTGTGAAAATTTTTAAGTCCTCCACGGAACTGTAGCTTTCCAAGACACCTTACAGGCTCCAGCAAACAAAACTTGCAGTCTGCTGGAGACAGTGCACATGATCCTTCACGCTAACCTCTTGCCCTTGGCTCTCAAGTCCTTATCTGGAAAGCCACCGTGTGTTGTCTCCTGCACAGATTGCATTGAACTAGGACGTGAGTTTTTCCAGAAGAAAACATTATACACTCACAACTTAAACCTTACAGAGTGCAGAAGGTGAGATATGACTTCATACCACTTCCAACTCTATCTGCATTTCACCTCCTATTTGGAAAGCAAGCTTTGCCTGCTTTCCAGAGATTTTAGTACAATGGACTCCAGCCTACTGTAACATGCCTGTAGTGATGTTACCTGAAAGCTTTCAATGATCAGTGTGCCCTAAGAAGTGTGAGATCTACTTATATGAAATAAAATATATTTAAATGTGTAGTTGGCTCCCGGATTTTTTGAGACTTTATCTGCAGAGAAGGCTTAAAAAATGAACCCAGCGTTGACACCCTTTCTAAAAGAAAACTGAGATTCCCTCATAATGGCATAATTACTCCAGGTGTTTGGGCATTAAAAATAACAGCAACTTTATAGAGGAAGGAATGAGTTGGCAGTACTGCAGTTACCTTTATTTCCTAGGACTTCCAAACGAACGCGAGACAAATCTTGCCACATTTGCATCTCCAGGTGTGCAGGCGTTTCCACACCACCACCCATTTGCTGTGGTACGCACAACCCGCCCCCCCCACTGCTCTCCTTCATGCTGCCTCACCCTGAATCCTGCCTCTGCTCCTCAGCACCGCAGGCGCAGGCGCAGGCGCAGGCACTCACATCCCACCTTCCTTTGCCTACAGCCGTCGCCTGCACGCAAGACCTAGCCCCTCATCCACACGTACATATCCCAAAGTCAGTGTACACACATCGGACCCCGTAGTTGCACACAGTGTCACTTAGTATTTTATCCTGGAGATGGGACAAGACACAGAAGGACCCTGTTGTTCAGGCATTTGAGGTGTCTGAGTCCTTTTCAGGGGGGAAATCAGCAAAAGGTCTTTTGCAGCTTGCTGGGGTTTAGGAGCTGCCAGCTAGGTGAGTATGGGTCTGAGCTGCTCTTTCCCAAATCGAGTGGTTGTGATGCATTATATTTATACCTCCACTGTTCCAGCCTTTGACAATCCATCCCACACATCTGTTACATTAGAAGGCTTCAGCCTAATATTTTTTGAGCTGGGCATATGGGAACACGATTATATCATCTTTATTTGTTTTTCTCCATTCACTCTCACTCCTCCATTCTTCCCTCTCCCCACCGTTTATCATTTAAGGATCCACTAAAATATTGCACAGTGGTTTTTACTCATCACCGTCTTTTTTCCCCTTTGTCGACAGATGCTTACCCCAATTCTGAAGTGATCTATGTGTGGACTAACAGCACCACAACGTCTGTGGTGGTGGCCGAAGACGGTTCACGACTTAACCAGTACCACCTTATGGGACAAACTGTAGGAACTGAAAACATCAGTACTAGTACAGGTAGGGACAGTATTTCCACCCTATGATTGCTGATAGTTGGGGCAAGAGGGGACATCCAACGGCTCCGGTTATTTTGCAAGGAGGCTAGGGAAGCATCTGTGGGATGTGGGGTGTTGGGGCGATCATGCGCAGGTTCCTGGCCACTTAGCAGAGGCACTGGAAGACTGAGAGGGTTATATGCTGGCTCTTGGGTACGCCGCAAGGCTGTTGCTGAAGATGCAACCAGGCCCCTGCTATTTAACGGCAGCGCTGGAGAAGCTGCACGCAGCTTCTTGGCGACCGCCTTTGCCGAGGCTGCCAGCGCTATTGCTGGCTTATTTCCCTGTGGGGAGGAACCACCCCGAGAGGCAACCACCACCCACGCATTTGATCCGTTTCAATCATCGCTTTAAAATTACTTGCTTGATGAAACCGCGCGGGGGGAGGGAGCGGAGGGCAGGTGGGGGCTGCGGCTGTGGCGTGGCTCTGCAGCGTGTCCGGGGGACCAACGTGGCCGGAGAGGAGGTGCCAACACCGAGGATTCCCATTTCCTCCCAGGCTGCAAGCGGAGGCGCCAGATGTGGCAGCATTAGGGAGGCAAAGAAGCTTTAATCCCAGGCTGGGCACCCACGTGAGCTGTGCTCCCCTGCTTCTTAAGGCTCCCACGCAAGGGCAGCCCTGGGCACGCATTGGCGGGGGGACTCCCCGGGGGGGGTTGAGGCTGGGACAGGGGTCACGTGGGCTCAGCGGGACGGGCACTTAACCAGGTTACACAATGCACTCGTCTGGAGAGCATTAGTGGCATCCAGCGTGGGGGCTCCTCAACCTGAAAGCAAAATAGCCTGCCGTGGAGGGAAGGGAACTTTCCACTGGGGTTTGGGGAGGGGAAAGGGGGCAGCCTGCAGCACCACGGCTGGGAGCAATTCCCGCGGGTCACGTGGGCTCAGCGGGACGGGCACTTAACCAGGTTACACAATGCACTCGTCTGGAGAGCATTAGTGGCATCCAGCGTGGGGGCTCCTCAACCTGAAAGCAAAATAGCCTGCCGTGGAGGGAAGGGAACTTTCCACTGGGGTTTGGGGAGGGGAAAGGGGGCAGCCTGCAGCACCACGGCTGGGAGCAATTCCCGCTGGCAAAGCACAGCAGAGTCTTCTGCTGATGCACTGTGTGCCTGGTGAAAAATGACAGGCTCTGAGCCGAAGGCAGGATTGTAGAGGACAAGGTATAGGTCAAGTTAGGAACCCGTTACTATCCACAGGAAGTTTAGGAGATGTGAAAACAGGTACATGTACGCTCGCACACAAAGTTAGTTGGACTGAAACATGAAGGGACATAAAGCTTTCTGCTCAAACTGTCCAAACATGGCAAATAAAGAGGGGGGCAGCTGAGCTTGCCGCTTACTGTCCAAACAGGAGACGAAGAGAGGGAGAGCTTGCCTCAAGCGGCACAGGGGGGCCTCAAAACACAAGCCCCGTCTCCGTCCTATAGAGCTTCACCCCCTCCCTTGCTCATTTCAGGAGACACAAAGCTGTTGCTAAAGCAAAGATATCAAAAGTCAAGAGAAGCATATAGACATAGTCAGAGCAGCCACCGCTGCAGAAAAAGGACAAGTACGCTATCTCCCATTAAAGAGCGAAGACCCTTTTTTCCTTACCAGTTTACCATCATAGCCGCGTTGTTTTCTGCAATGAACGGTAGCTCCCCTCTTGCCTTCATCATTGTCAAGAAAAAGATCCAGAGGATGTACTGGGGCATCTCCTACAAGCTCGTCCTGCTCCTCAGAGCAAGAAAACCATCCAGCCCAGGCACTGAGTGCTCCAGCGTGTCAGCTCCGTGCCACTTCCAATTTGCAGCTTTGCCTGCGAAAGCTCCTTGTACTCCTCAGCCCAAGGAAACAGGGGACTCTTCAGACAAATCCCAAAGTTTCTGCTCAGTAACCACCTCCCTCCTGTATCTTAAGATTTAGGCTAATAAACGCTTGTTTTCCAACGTCAAGATTTTATATTAATGTCCTGGGTTACATCTGGGCTGGCTGGCTTCTGATTGCAGGGTGGATCACAAAGAGCAGGACACAGATTGTAACCGGGGATTAGCAAAATACAAAAATCCGATTTTGCACAGGGAAAGCATCAGTCGGTGATGGATTTTCTGGACTTCATCAAGCTTGTAGGAGGCCAGTAATCAGGGTTACTTATGAACAGCCGTCTAAGGCATTTCTTCCTTCTATTGAATTGTTGAACGTGAAAAAGAAAAACCAAATAGCTATTGCACAAATCCAAGTGCTTGGATCTTTTGTGGGTTTTTTCGACACACAAGTCAAACTACACAGCCCTTGCAGTTGCATAAGCAAAATGTTTGTGTATGTCATAGGACATTTATGCTGTCCTTTCTAGCAGACTTTTTTTGTTTGTTTTTAAATGGAAATGCTGGACCTGCACCAGTCCCTTGGGATTCTACTGATTTTGTAGGCAAGCCACTAAGTTTAGGTGCCTTCTCAGAAAAGATATCCTGGCACTCCTAATTCATCAACCCATCTTGAAATTGGGAATGTTTTAGCCATACCACAGAAAATAGCTCTGACATGTGCCACCTGTTTGGGGTTCTTTTTTGTGCTAACATCCCCAAATGCCATTCCTCCGAAAGAGAAGATATTTTACTCCTCAGACTGCTTCCAACAGGCCCAACATCTGTTATGTCCTGGCGGTGCAAGTGCTGTCAACAATCAGATACGGGATTTGGGTCCAAGTGGATCTCACTGCTTTCTGCAAATGGTTGCCCAGTTCTGTTCCCCATACCCAGAATCTCTCATCACTAACTTAGGATCTGCAGTGCCACAAAACAAAACAAAAACCCACTCTTTTATCTTCTGCCAGCTGGAGCCTGAGCTCTGAAATATCCAAAGCCTAAATAATAAAAGAAGCATTTGATCCTTCATTTTGCATCAAATTATTCTGATTTTTCCTTGAGATTACTCTTTCCCCTGCCTCACTATAAAAAGAACATGAGCATCTCTCGTGGGCCAAAATATTCTGGGTGTCAGCATGGTCAGGGACTGTGGTGTCACAGACCTAATGTCAGGTTCTTGCCGGAATGGTTGTTGATACATGTGAGTCCAGGTATATTCAGTAAACAACCAAGCCTGGGGGCTGGCCCAGCCTCATTAAAGTCCTCTTGTTGAATCCCAGCGTAATGGGGATGGAAGAATGCATGTAAGATCCTGGAAAATTTGTAAGCATGATCTCCAGAACTCCATCATCTAGATACCAAAAAAATACTGTGGCAGCTTTTAAAGCATAAAAAAACCGTTAAGACGAGCAGCAGCACAGTAGAATATCTCTGTGAAGAAATGCAGCCAGTCCCACTCTAGGACTTATTAGTGCTAAATTTGTTATTAAAATTGTTTTGTGCAGTGATGAGCAGACCCCATCAGGAACAAGATTCTCTTTTAAGTGCTACATAAACCTATAACAAAAATTAGCTCTTGCTCAAGAAAGCTTATGGTCTAAGGATAAACAGTGGCCTTACAGAAGTAAAAGGGAGCTTTGCCACTTCAGTAGAGCCAGGATTTTGTTCTATATAAACCAAAGGCCAACTCGGGCAGCTTTTAGCTTTACTTTAAACAGTGGTCCCAGGGCATTAAAATCCAGGCTGTGGGGTTTTCTTAAGCCCTAAGTCTTCTGGAGGAAGCATTCCTAGAGTAGGCACTTTTGAAAGGGACAGCATGGGAAATTGGAGAAGATACCGGCTGGAAGAAGAGCAAGTACAAAATCAAGGTGATATCATTATTTCAGTGGAGACAAGAGCTTTGATAGGTTAAAAAAAATGATAAGGTAAAAATCAACTGTGGAGGGCCATCAAAATGTAGGCATTCATTTTCTGTAGTTTAAAAAGGAAAAAAGGGGTCCTGTTGCTCTGCTGAAGCTGTGTAGATTTTTTTTTTATTCCAGCTCTGAAAGCATACTGTCAAAATCAATAATGCACATCGTCACTGCTTAGCGAGCAGGGAAACTGTGACTCAAACACATCCCAGTGCAGCAGCAACTCAGAAACAGATTACAGGCACATAGACCCTGCTGCTCCTAGCATATTTTATGGGTAATCCACAAACTGAATGCTCCTAAATAAAGAGCAAGTGGGGTTCCTCCTGAGACCACAGCATGTTCAGCATCCCTGGTTCAAAATTACACTAAATGGAAAGGAATTAGATGTCACTTCACATGGATTTTCTCCCCAGTTTCATAGCATTCCCTGTCCATCTCCACATCCCTCTTCAGGGAACCATTTCACCAGAAAATCCGACTCCAGAAGAAAGTCATAAAGATTGAGGCAGGCTGTTAGGTGAGATATTGCTGTGCTATTCCAGTCTTTCTGTCTAAAATCCTCAGCATGAACAAGGTCTGTAAACTTCATCCAGAATAAGAGAGTTCCTCTGGCATAACATACCAGTGCAGCTATACCTGCAAAAGCCCTTTCACTGTAAACCTGTTCTCTGCTAATTAGCCATATTGTCACTTAGAAATAATCTGCCAAATCTAACTGCTTAGCAATGCTGGCTGCAGCTCAGCTTGGGCTATTCACTCAAGGCAGAATCAGTCTGTTATATATTTTCCTTTTGTGGCTGGTCTATAGAGACTAAGTCAAGTCTTGCAACAGAGATTATAGCTATATTTGGCTTATTCTTGGAGGACAATATATCTTTCAGAACAGGGATTACTCTGATTCATCAGTACCCAGCTGAATGATGCACGCTTTTAAATTAATTTAATATCAATGTGAGTGGAGATCTGTTAGGGCTTGAAGGGCTTGGTTGTTTTTCATTCTTACATTTTGTTCTAATGTTATTTTTCCTAGGCAAATAGTAGCCTGTTTTTAGCTAGCAAGATTTTGGCTTTGGGGAGCAGTTACCATCAATGAATAGCCTTCAGTAACAACTATATGGTTTTACAGGAACAGTCTGAAAGAACCAGTTAAGTTTTGATTTTTTCTGAAACATTAGGGAAGGTGACAGCTGGTCTGTTGACTTTGGAGTGCATTTTTTTAGGCTTTTATTGAAATTCAGAGGACCTGACAAAAGCCAGATTAAGGCAATGCTGGCATTAAATTTTGGCATATAAAAAAGACATGCTGTGGCAGCTTTCAGTGAATTCTCCATGCAGGCAGTACAATATTCATTGCACAAGTGAACAAGACATGGCAAAATGTCTGTCCAGCAACAGATTATTTTTCCAAGGGCTAAAGTGTACCAAATTGTGGGAAAACTAGAAAGATCTTTTTTTTTTTTTTTCTGGAGGAGCATTTTGATGGGTTTGGGTACTGAGAGCAACAAAACCTCCCAGGATCCATGTGCAAAGCTGGAATTTTTGCAGCACCGGCACTGGGACAGGCAGTCCCTGAAGTGCGGTGCAGGAGGAGCGTCTGGACCTGTTCTCATTCTTGAAAATTGATGGCTTGGCAGTAGCAGTTGCCCTAATGAGGTTAAGTCCTGCTGCTAAATCAGGTTTCTAAGAGTAGCTGGCCTTAATCGTTACTCTGGTAAGACAGTTTGTAGGACTGAGTCAAAAACAGGCAGGACTGAGGCAGTGCCAGCAACCCAGATATTTTAAGCTTGTGAACATCAAGTCATCCCAGGTGCATAAAAGGACTGCAGCTTTTCAGTGCGGTACAAGTAGTCAGTCGTTGGCTTCTGCTTTTGGGGACTAATGTGAAGACTAGCAGGATCTAGCAGCACCTCTGTCTCAAGTCCTGTATTTCCACAGCACAGAAATCCAGACATTTTTCATGCAATTAAGAATGGCTGAATGGTATCCTCAAATGGGGGGGTGGGGGGTGGAGCTGGCCTGCTTAAGTCCCTAAATCAATAAACCTCCCTTATTTTGGCCACATGCACATTTATCTCCTTCTAGGCGAATATACTATTATGACAGCCCATTTTCATCTGAAAAGAAAAATTGGCTATTTTGTCATCCAGACGTACCTTCCTTGCATTATGACTGTGATCTTATCTCAAGTGTCGTTTTGGCTAAACAGAGAATCTGTCCCTGCTAGGACTGTCTTTGGTGAGTATCATCTCCCAGCACGCGGGAAAGATCGGTCTGGTTTGTGGAAGTGATTTGCTGTAACAAAACCACAGTGCACTAATGCTTATGTCTGCATGAGGTGTTCTCTTCCAGTTTAAACCGGAACACTATTTATCTGGGCTTTTTATTAAAGTTATGACAGAAATTGCTCAAGAATCAATTATGTGATGGTTAAGGGTAGAAGACAGAAGAATCAGATTGGTGTGATTTGTGGGGTTTTTTTTTCCACTCAGGTAAAATACTTGATGGTTTAGAACAAAAAATAGACGTATTATCATATTTAGTGTATACTCTAGCTAAGCATTTGAAACAGCTTTCACTTCAAGACATTTTGTTTATCTCTGTTTTAAGATGTTTATCTGTGAAAACCATGTAGAAGTTAATTAGTGACAATTATCTCTATTACCATCAAACAAATTAATATGATTTTGCATTTAGAAAACATATTTACTACAGAAGTTGTCATGGAAAAATCCTTTGGGGTCTCTTAAATTACTCGATTTATCACTAGAAGATTGCAGAAAATAAACAGAGTCTTAAATGAAGGTTGATGAAATACAAAATTTTCACAAGATGAAAAATGAGGGGAGTGGGAACAGTTTATCATGTAAAATTTCATTCAGCTGTTCTTAAAAGAATCATTCTTCTGTACAAACGTACTGAAATCAGTTGGTAGCTTTGATCAAAAATCAGTTCAGAAGGCTGTATGGGGAGAATACAGGTACCAGCATCGCTTTGCTGACTGGTGGTACCCATTCTAGGTGTACAAAGCTGTAAGTTGAATTTTGTCCTATTGGGGGCATCCTTCCACAGATGAAAGTAGTGGCAGCTCTGTCACTTACTGACCTATATGAGAGGAGGAGCTACAGTGATGGAAATCAGTAACAGCCAACAATTTCATACGCGAAATCTCCATATGAGAAAATAAAATCCATAATCTCACTTTATTATGCAAGTTACTGCTAAATGGATTGCTCACTGATTTTGTAATGTACCACTTAATGAGGGACACTATATACATACCATGCATCAGTGTGCAGGGATAAAATGCCAGTAAGGTTTTGGTTTATGTGATAGCTGTAACCCTTAAAAATACTTATTTAGATATGCCATAACTAAAGACAACCAGAACACCACAGAAGTAAATGCCTGAGGGCAGAGGGTTGTATTTTTCCTTGGTGAGCAAAGTATCTTACTCTTTCGGACAGTAATATGCAAACACTGATGACTTCACGTGGCCTTCTTAGGTATCGTGCTAAATTGGGGTCTGCTTATAACTCATCAGGGATTACGTAAGGGTTACCAAACTGATCTCTGCCTCTTTTTTTTTTTTTTCCTCCTTGACAGGAGTGACAACAGTCCTCACCATGACCACCTTAAGTATCAGTGCCCGTAACTCTTTGCCAAAAGTGGCCTACGCTACTGCAATGGACTGGTTTATAGCCGTCTGCTATGCCTTTGTATTTTCTGCACTGATTGAATTTGCAACAGTCAACTATTTCACCAAGAGGAGTTGGGCATGGGATGGCAAAAAAGCCCTGGAAGCTGCTAAAATCAAGGTGCTTACCTTACATTTTTTAAAACACCTAGAACAAAAAGCAGTTACTCAGCAGAGCTCAAATAACTGAATGGACAATTTTCAGCTTCTTTGTGAAAAAGGTTACCTCGTGACATACTTTCACCTTCCTACAGAGGAATATTTGCAAGGAAATAAGCCGCCTTCTTTTCACAGGGATAGACTATCAGTCTCCACCATCTGTATGGAGTGGACTGTTTTCAGAAGGATATAGGGCTTTGAGTACACGTGGCATGGGATTTCAGTGACCAAACTTCTGATAGTAGCAGACATATATGATGAAATATATCTCTGCAGAGCACTCCCTGTATGCTCTCCCAAATAAATGACAAAGCTGACATTGAGCTCCATGTGTTAGAGTCCCATCACAGTATCCCCAATAAAAAAGAGACAGAAGAAAACACAAACTTCGGAGTTTCAAGCTGAAATGAAAATTTTGGAATAAAACTGACTCTTAGCAAATGATCTCCTAGAGAGAGCTCGTACCCGCAGGCATCCCAAAAGAGCAATACAAAGAGGGCAAGCTAGCAGGGGCAATGAGCCCTTTGCCACACTCCTTGCTGCAGGCAGGAGGGTGAGGTTCACATTTTGGCAGCAACCTCTGCAGGTACAGGACCGCGTCACCCTGACAAAAGCCGCTGCTAATGCACATGCCAGGTGGGATCCGGGTCTGGCCAGCCACTCTTGGCTTTCTCTGGCATCAGGGAAAGTTTAACCTGAGTAAGGGCTATAAAATCAAAGCAGAAACAGCTGTTTGGGAGTCAAAGTTGGAATAGCCATCAGGTACTTGTTAGCATGATTGATTACTGTACTTAGATTTTTGGGTTAATATCTTGAGAACATGTTTCTACTTTCTGTTCCTGCGGTCTAATGTTTTGTTCTTTACCCTGCAGAAAAAAGAGCGTGAATTGCTGGGAAATAAATCAACTAATACTTACAGCACTGGGAAGATGACCCCTGCACCAAACATGCCAAAGGACTCAGCCCCATCTGTCATCTCAAACACTGCATCTGCGCCAGTGAAGTCTGCAGAAGAAAAGCCCGCTGAAAGCAAAAAGACTTACAACAGCATCAGTAAGATTGACAAAATGTCCCGGATAATTTTTCCAGTGCTGTTTGGAACTTTTAACTTAGTTTACTGGGCCACATATTTGAATAGGGAGCCTGTTATTAAAGGTGCCAATTCTCCAAAATAAACTGAAGGACTCTAAAGCCACACGTGAGCCATACTTACAAAGCAGATGCTACCAAGGAAAATTTGAGATCCAGACACCTTTCTACATTTGGGCAATATTCTTCAGGAAGTTTTTTGCATGTTTAATAATATGTACAAATGATATTGCCTTGATTGTTTCTACATGTAACCTCAGATGTTTCGGAGACGATTATATTACTTACAGCAACAGATCTTTGTAAAAGATCAGAAGACATTGAACATGGCTTCTTTGCTGCTGAGTATCTTGCATTGATAGTTTACAAATAAAATAAGTTATATTTTTTAACTGTTCAAGTGTACTACATATCGTGGTTTTTATACTTCAGATGTACAGTCATACAAATGTAGGCTTAACCTATATTTTACAGAAGAGCTCCACTATTGTCATCTGATAGGTTACTGAGTAACGCCAGTTGTGGATGTGCCAAATTACTAAGCGTAGGGCTATGTTTGAGCACCTTTACTGGTTATAGGTAGTGCATTACTCCACAGATAAAACTGCTCAGCCCAATTTTCATTAAAAGTTAATAGAATGCAGTAAATCCTAATGGGCCTATGCTGATTTTCACTGCTTGAGCCTGTAGCTTGCAGTGAAATAACATAGGGAGCAGAATGCTACTTGTGTAAATAAAGGTGATGGGATTTTGCCCTTAAAAGAAAATATGAAGTTTGTTTGGATTTTACATTCCAAAGAATTTTATCGAATTATTCTCAGTATTTATTCCAAAAAGTAGAGATATATTGCATGAAATTCACATAGATTAGGAACATACTTGTGCAAATAAAACTTTTAACAACAGCAGTAGACATTTTTATTAGGGTAAAGTAAATGACATTTGGACATTTTCCCAAGAAGAAGATTGCGTTATATTAGCAGAGATTAACAGTAAAGAATTACAGTAATTCTGAAATAATTATTACTTGTTTCCCACAGTGAAAACCAATCAGCCAACTCTAAGAAGTGTGATCAGAAAAAAAGATGTGCTTCATGACAGCAAGGTGTTTCAGTGACAATATTGACAGAAAGGTCTTTGTACTGTCCATCTGAAACTTTTCTATAAAACGCCTTGCTGCTGCCAATGTGTTTTGCTTTCACAATGAATGAGAAAATGCAATCTGAGTTTTCAGCTCTTTCCTCCTTGGCATCCTTTCTTTGTTCCAGAAGCTTTTGTAATTTAATCTTAATGTTTAAATAAAAAATGCATTCAACATTGGATTGAAAATGTCATTCTTATACTGGTTATCCTTTTAGAGAGACCAAAAAAATCACCACAAGAGCTGGAAGAATTAATTGGAAAGCACATATGCATGCACTCGATCACATGTGTGTGCATGACACATCCTCACTGTTGCCCAGAAAGGTACATACTGAGTTAAGACCGTGAATCGGGATGTTTCAGAATTAAGTGCTATCTTGCTGTGCAGCATCAGCCCCATGTTCTGTTTGGGACAGAGGAGACTCCATGCTTCACTTTGAGGGGAGGGTCTGGTCCTGGACTGGGGAGCTGTCTGGGCTTCTTGTGTGTCTTCTCTTCATCCCCTTCATTCCTAAACATTGCCCAGAAAAAAATCTCACAGACCTATTCCTTTTTGCTGCTTTTCTTTTAATGTTGTGGAATTAGCAATTTGCAAATTCTCAGTGGCCACACAGAAGGCACAGGACTGAGCGGGTGACTGGAAGCTGATGAAGAGGAGCAAGGGAGGGGCATGCCCATCTCTTAGTTACAGTACTGTCCTGAGCCAAGGTGAGGATCTGGATCTCTGTTTTCACATAGGCTTTGAGCAGCCACATGCCTCCTTGTTCATCATTTCTTTGTTTTTAAAAATGGGATGGTGGTATCTGAATGCAATGAATCCAGCCCTTTGGGGATTGAAAACAGTGAAAAATTGCAGAGCCAATTGGGATGCAAAACTTTATAAAATCCTATGGCTATTTCTTTACTTGCATGCAGGTTATTCCCACCAAACGGAATAACCTGCCAACAAGACCTTGTGTTTTCCCAGTGAAGAGCACATCGCTTCGCCAAGTCCAACAGGGACGCAGTGTGGTGAAGTGCACACACATTGTACTGAATGCCCCCAGTGATTCACTCATTGACCACCACTGAAACAGCTGAAAACACCTGGTGACTGGCAGGGGGGAGCAGATCATTCTGCATATGCAAGACAGAGCCTCCCAGTTCGGCCTCTTCCTATGGCCATAGAGATGTACAATAAATGCAGTGATAGGTCCCTGGAGGCTAAATATCCAGACAAGGAGAGGTGAACCCAACATGCTGTCAGAGCTAGCAGACATAACAATTCCTCTTACTCAGGATGTGCACACCTGGGGAACATTTCTTGTAACCATTTGATACGGGTGTGCATTCTTCCCACAGCAAGGCAAAGTGACCAGGGAATGGGCGGCACAGTAGGGCCTTCCTGTTAGTCCCTGAGGGAGACCACCTGCAGCCCCACAAATGAGTGTTTTTTCTCTGCCCTCAAGTCTTTTCCTGTGGTTGATGATGATAGGGCTTGCTGTTGACACTCCTGGCAGATGGATGTGTTCTGGGTAACACATCTGGACAAAGCCTCTTGCTATGAATGAATTCACTAACAGCTTGCTATTTCTCGTCTCACCAGAATAACAGATGAGATGTAACTCTTGCAAGCATAAGGCACCAAACTAATCTTGCTCAACCAGGTGTCTGAGGATGATGGGTGGACTGACAAGGACCCATCAGGATATAGTCCACGTGATGACTTGCCCTTTTTTTGATCCCATGATCCCATGCTGCCATGCTGTTGGCACATACTACCATGTTTTTGGCGGGTACGTATCAGTACTCATACGCTCAAATCTCTCCTCAACCATTCTCATGGCCTACATGTGGCATAGGCTCAAACTTTTTTTAGCACACATTTTTTTTATCATAGTATTTGCAATTGGAAAAGACACACTGGATTCTGTTTAATAAGAATATTACTTAACTCTTCTTCCCCTCAGATACTAAACATTCTAGTTTTTTCCCACAGGAAGATTAGGTAGTTGTAGGATTTTAAAATAAAACTGGTTATTGAACAATGATGTTCCAAAGATTAAGGAACTAATGGGTCAGTCACTGAACAAAGCCAGGTTCTGTGGATTCAAGTTCAATCTGGAGGGTGGGACTTTGGCACAAAACTCTGAATAGATTGAAACTATATCAGGATCCTGAGACGCTGATTTCTAGAGGAGTACTTGGGAGTAATATCGTCTATACGTGTCCTGTTCCTCTCCCCAAAAACCATCTGCTTCTAGTCACTTCCAGAGGAAGGATACCGTGCTGTCCAGAGTTTTGTCCTGACCCCATACAGCCACTCAGCAAATGTTGTCCAGGAGAAGGCTGGAGCACAGGAGTGACTAGTCAGACCCTGGGCTACAGAGTAGTTGTGAAAGTGGCACCAGAGTGCTTCTGGGACAATACGGAGGATGTATTTACTACACTGCTGAATACTATGAGCAATCTGTGAACCTCCAGAGGACACCACGCATGGTAAAATGTCTGAATACAGATGAATCCCAAAACAAGAAAGAATCACAAGAAGTTCAATAAATTTTATATAAATAAAAATTCAGCCTGGAGAAAAGAAGGCTCTGGGGAGATCTAATTGCGGCTTACCAGTACCTGAAGGGGGCCTATAGGAAAGATGGTGAGGGGCTGTTTATCAGGGAATGTAGTGACAGGACAAGGGGTAATGGGTTCAAGCTGAAGGAGGGTCGATTTAGATCAGATGTTAGAAAGAAATTCTTTACTGTTAGAGTGGTGAGGTACTGGAACAGGTTGCCCAGAGAGGTTGTGGATGTCCCATCCCTGGAAGTGTTCAAGGCCAGGTTGGATGGGGCTTTGGGCCACATGGTCTAGTGGAGGGTGTCCCTGCCCATGGCAGGCGGGTTGGAACTAGATGATCTTTAAGGTCCCTTCCAACCCAAACTATGATTCTATGATTCTAAGTTGCTTTGCACTTTCCTCAAACTTCCACAAAAAGCCTCCGGTGTGAGGCTTTTCCCTACGTGAATGAGAAACTCAGAACCATTTTTACAACATCATCTTCAGAGCCGTTTTGCCTGCCTCAGAGGGTTTTCTGTGCTTGTTTTGTTTGCTTACACCCAAGTATGGCTCTTACCCTGCATGGCTCAGCATCATTTTCTGGTCTCCATTTTCTGGTACTCAGTGCCAGGACCTCTAAATCTGACCAGTTTTACTTACGTGGAGAGTCTCCTTGTCTTCACTGAATACAGAACTACCTGCAAACGGTAGAGTCGTATGGTCACAGGATCAGGCCCTTTACTTTTTTTTGTAAACAGTTTATGAAGTTTACCTGATGTGTAGAAGACCTGATAATTACCTGCCACCGCAGACATTTTTACATAAATCACTTCCCTTTATATTGACTGTTGCTTTCTGTCTTTGAAGGTAAAGGCAGAAAATAACGATTAGAGCTCATTCTGTCATCATGGATTTGCTAAACCAGGTTGAAGTTTCCTGAAGAAACTATTTTATGTTTCTTGGAGAATCCTACACACTTCTAATACTTGCTGAGAACTGCAGCGATAGAAGAAGCAGCCACCTCGCAGCGTGTGCTCTTGCCTGAGCCGTAGGTGTTGTCCCATAGTTTGGGAGATGCTTCAATAAGCTCATCGATTCTTCCAGGCTGGAATACTTAAATGCCACTGCCTCACACTACCTAACACCTAACAATTTAAATCTCTCCACAGTCAGTGGAACTGTTTGTGTGGGAGACCGTTACTCATCGATGGCATCTGAACTGTGGGAGATGGGAGCATTTCCCAGATTCTGGCTCAAAGTAAACACCTTGGCTTTGTCCTGCTCCGGGGTGGGATGGTATCTGGATGTGCTTCAATGTCCTGTTTTTTCCTGGAAGGAGCCTGGGCCTTCAGGAGTGGAGTGAGCTGTGTCACTGTCCCCAGTATGGGTGAGCTGGGACGCTGCGGGGCCCATCTACTTCACGGCTTAGTCATGGCCAAAGACAGGAATAAATAGGAATTGCTTGTCATCATTGTTTTTTTTTCTGTATGCTTTCAAGAAAAAAGAGTTGAAAAGTGAATTACAACAATTCAGCACTGGAGAGTAAGTGTGTGCTGTTCTACTGCCAAATTTCCTCACTTGCGCCCATTAAGAATGAAAGAACAAGTCAAATACAATGGAAAAGGTTTTTATT